ATTTGAACTTTATTCATTTTAATATTATATATTATAAGTCTTATAAGACTATCGAACAAATAAAACTAGAAATGGAAACCAAAAGCAATAGCAAAGCATCACAGCAAAAAGTCTATCATAAATGACTTGAATCTATCGCTTAAATCCAATATACGAAACTATAACAGTATTCTGAACTTCGTCTTCGGATTGACATCAGACCATAGTATAGTACATTTTGAGGTCGTCGTGGCTTCACGGATTATTCTCATTAGTGAGCAAGTCAGCAAGCGAAGGCATACAAAAGATACCAAAATATGTACGAATAATTATATTGTCGATCCTCGCTGGCATGTCATTTAGATAAATATATATCGTACATTAAACGTGGTACTGTTTACTGTATATTAACTGCTGACAATTTCGTCGTCGATACGGCTTCCACTATTGGCACACTCGTGATTTCGAAGAAATTAATAAATACATGCTCATTTATCATTTATTTAGACCACAGTTAGTAAAATTTTAAACGTATTCGGTATTCCAAATCCCAATCTATCTGACCGTATTTTAGTAATAGCTTCAAAATATTCAGAACATTGTTCTTTCAGTCGCACATAGTACAGGTATTACTGTACATTCAAAGCCAATGGTAGTTTATTCGGCTTTATATTTGTATGTGTATTGATATCTATTTAATATTTGAAGAATTCTATATTTTTCCGAGTAATATATTGTGCGGCCCGCTAATGCTTTGTATTATTATTGTTCGTGTTGCACAATGTACACGCCTTGCGTCAATTTGACAGTTGACAGTTTATTTATCGCAGTCGACGCTGATTGGTTAACGTTTAGCAGATGCGAAAAGGGGATGAATGAATAAAACGCATGGTTCCGTGCAGGCTCACCTTTCTCCCAGTGAGCCTGTTCGCAGGCTACGTTCTTTACAGAGACCTAATTGTAATCAGGAATTTATTACATTTTAAAGCAAGTAGTTGTAATTGGAATTAATTCCTTTTTCGGCGGTAATTTTGCAGTCCTGGGTTAAACAGCAAAAATGATTTGCATCGACAAACTCTTTTCAAACAGTTTTTAAACGGGTTTTTTATTTGCTTGTGTGATGTTACTCTGAGTGTATATCCACACCTACCCTGGATTCCAGAACCTTCGACAGTAAATAATAAATTGAAATGTCGCGAAGGCTCTGGTTCAACGGAGCGATTCTTTGATTAAACCGAGCCAATCACAAAACAGAATTAGTGGTTTTAGTACAGAATCTGTACTAAAACCACTAATTCTGTTTTGTGATTGGCTCGGTTTAATCAAAGAATCGCCCCGTTGAACCAGAGCCTTCGCGACATTTCAATTTATTATTTACTGTCGAAGGCTCTGGAATCCAGGGTAATCCACACCGGGCAGGCTTGAAATATATGCCTGGCCAGGGTGGGAATCGAACCTACGACCTTTGGAATACTAGCCGAATGCTCTGCCAACTGAGCTACGCGGTCAGGTCGGTTCGTGGCCAGGCATATATTTCAAGCCTGCCCGGTGTACACTCAGAGTAACATCACACAAGCACTTTATTAATATTCACCTGGGTACATTACACCAACACAGCAAATATCATGGGGTTTTTTTTATTGTTGAACATAATTATATTTCATAATTGTTGAACATTTTGTTTATTTTACTTAATGAACATTTCATATATACTGTATACAGAATTATTTCATAACTGCATGTCGTTTTATTTTGAGCTTCATATAATAGTATCATTTATTTATTTTTTATTTGTGCATGCCTGGTGATATTTTTTGATTTCCTGCAATCTGATTGGCTGCAGCAGCGGGCAGCTTTTCACGATATCTTGACCGTGGTCCAAAAGAGTCTCGAAAAGAGTTATTTTTTCGCGACAATCCGAGGAGTGAAGACAATTTTCAAACTCAAAACACTATCCAAAACGTTTAAAAATCCACCATATCGATACTAAAGATAGTAAAATACAGTGAATTGGCCGCTTCAGTGGACTTAGTGCCGAGCCCGAAATGTACTTTTCTCCGACCAAACTGCGAAAAAAACAAATATAAACATCGAAAAACACTGGCCAGTGCTACATGTTTTGATTCAAATACGGCACGGATAAAATTGGTACCCGTGCCGCTTTTTTTGGTTCTTGGACTACCTATTTAGGTAGTCCAAGAACCAAAAAGTGGTACGGTACCAAAAATTGAGCGTAGTGTAAACGGGGCTTAGCTAAATAGGTAGTCCAAGAACCAAAAAAGTGGAACGGGTACCAATTTTATCCGCGCCGTACCAAAAATTAAGCGTAGTATAAGCGGGGCTTTAGTTTACCTTTCTGTTTTCTTAGTAGAAAAGCATCTATTTCAATGAAACTAAAAGCTTTTTTATCGAGCTTTTATCGCGTCGTTTTTATAGCAGTTTGTCAGCCATGCTTGCACTAAAGTAACAAACGCAACTGATCTCAAATCAGTGTACTTCGCAACTGGGATTTTATCGGAATTTCATTATAACCATGAACTATCAAATAAAAAAATAAACACGTTATTTACCGTTTTGGTCGGTCCGAACTAAAAAATATTTTCCCTCGGCCTCAGAAGCGTCCCCCGGCCTTCGGCCTCGGGCAGCTTCTGAGACCTCGGGCAGCTTCTGAGACCTCGGGAAAATATTTTTCAGTACGGACCTCGCAGCCGGTAAATAACATATATGTATTTGAAGTAACAAGTCTTAAAATAACAATGCGTAATATTAACTAACGTTTCAATAAAACAATATATGTTGAGTGTTTTACGTTTCATTAAAACGTGCTTGCGCGTATAATGTCTTTTACAAACATCACAATGATAAGGCTTCTCTCCTGCTTGTGTTCTTCGATGTCCTGTTAGCCGGCTACCGGAGTGCGAAAACTTTTCCCACAAACATCACATTCATAATAGTTGTCCGGCCAAGGTGGCAAAAAGTGCCTCTAAAGAGAGTTTGATGGCAACTTTATGTTAGAAGCTGGTAACAGGCATTTTCTTATAGTTCAAGCCTTGGTGAATAAGACTGTGTGTGTTACCACTTGTGATTTTTGCTTTATAGCCAAAAAATTGAGAATTTTAAAATTTTGCCTATTAAATTACTATGATGGCAAAAAATGTAAAATTTCATGTTCTCTGATACAAAAAATAAACTATACCACTAGAAAGATCGCAAAAAAACTATATATAAGATAATTAAGCGACTAGTGCGATTTTCAAGCCGATTTTGAATTAAAAATGGTTAAAGTTGGCAAAATGGGTACTAATTAGCGTTAATTTGGTCATTTCTGCATTTTCTAACATTAAACACTCGAAAAAGGATTGGAAAAATGTAGAACTCACTTAATTGTCTTATATATAGTTTTTTACGCTCTTTCTAGTGGTATAGTTTATTTTTCGTATAAGAGAACATGAAATTTTACATTTTTTCCGATCATAGTAATTTGATCGGCAAAATTTAAAAATTCTCAAATTTTTGGCTACAAAGCAAAAATCAGAAGTGGTAACACATATAGTCTTGTTCACCAAGGCTTGAACTATAAGAAAATGCCTGTTACCAGCTTCTAACATAAAGTTGCCATCCAGTTGTACAAATTGATGACTTGGCCGGCCGTCTATAAGGTTTTTCTCCAGTATGCATGTATTCTACGATGAACAAACTAACTACTTCCATCCGAAAATCTTTTTCCACAAACATCACATCCGTAAGGTTTCTCTCCTGCATATGTATTCTACGATGTTTGTTACGGTTAATTGCGCAAGTTTCCTACCACAAATATCACACTCAAAAGGCTTTTCTTCTCTGTATGTTATTTGATGTGCTTCTGAGGACGTGAAATACTTGTGACATGTCTCACACTCACCATTCATAATTTCAAGATTATATTTATAATGAATGCCGAGAGTAAAGGTCATGTCGTGTTCACACTGTTTTTAACAAGGGAATTTCCATATGGAATTGTCTTGCTGAATAAATTAAAAATCAAAAATCGTATTTTTCCTTTAAGAAAAAAGCAAAATTAAATTACTTGTTAATATAAATATTGTTAGCTAAAACATATATTATATATATTGAACCAACTTAGAGTTATGTATTTTATTTTATTCAAAACAATATAGGGGCCTTATATCAAAAGTCCAACAGGATTTCAAAAGGTTCCTAGCTCCTTTATATTATTGTATTTCAACTATATTCCATTATAAATATTTTTGTGAGCAAATATATTCTATTCTATGTACACGATGTATATACAAACGCTAACAGCACATAAAAGTCAGTACCCCAATGACGCGTGCCAAATAGTCCTGTTTGAGTGGGATTTTCGTTCATTATATTTGTAGACTTTCGCCACTTACGTGTAAGTAACCAATTGAAAGAGCATATTATTTTATACAATATATGAAATTTTAATTAAATTCTATAGAATAGCGGACGAGATTTTTACAACTTAACTGGCACCGGGGGTAATTGTAATAGGAAAGTGTCTTTTTTTGCCTGCTTTGAGGTGAGGCGCGTTTGTTGGTTTGTGTGCAATAAAACTTTAAGTTATTAATTAGTTCATAGGAACAGTATGTAATTCATTTGGAAGAGAAGAAATGGCTATATTTTTCATTTTTACTTCTGAGTGATTGAAATGAAGGAGTTCACATTATAGATCGAATGTCATGTTGAATGTCATGTTGAATCGCACGCTTACTTCACAGTGGTACCCGTTCTGGCCGTTCGTTCGGCCCGTTGTTGTGTGTTATATGTGTGTGTGTGTGTATTATGTAATCATTTAATACATTTCGTTGTGATCAAGAGCGAAAATCCGTTACAGAAAATATACAGTAATAAATCTTTTATATGCAAGACAAAGGTTGCATAACAAACGCAAAAGCAAGTTTGAACGCTTATGCTGATGCCAGACTGATGATTGTATATTTCAGCGTTTCCTTTTTCGTTAAAGTTATTTCTGATTTACGGACCGCTCCAGCCCAGACCTAGGCCTAACGCCTTTACTCGGTTGGCTTTGGCAGGTTTGGTCAATTTCGAGGCTAGTATTTGGTAAGTATCCATATCGCCATGGTCAGTTTCGCCCTTCGTCCGCCCCGCCCCCAAATCGCCTAGGTTCCACTCTTCTCATGTGGGAAAGTGCTGAATATTAAAAAAATAATAAAAATAGAAGGCCAGTAGGTCTAGGCTGGGACCGCTCATAATTTATTGTACAGGGGGGCGGGGATTGAGGAGAAACTTGGGGGAGGAGCTTTGAAATAGTTTACTAGTTTGAAAAAGCAGTAGTTTTAAAAATGTATCACAAAATAACAAAAAAACAATGTTTGGAGACCTTTAATATTAATATTCATAAATGGAAGCCAAATAAATGGTCTCTTACGTTCATGTAAATTGGTCCCCATTATCTATTAAAGGAATACCGAATACCGAATGGTTTTCCGTGCAGGATTGCGTGATCCATGCACGAGGGATGTCACGAGACTTTCGGAAAGCGTAAAAAAACTCGAGCCGCAGGGGAGTGTATTTTTATATACGCTTTCCGAAATTAAGTCGAACGACAACATCCCAAGTGCATGGATCACGCTATCCTGCTTGCAAAACCATTTGGTAATTGTTTTACAATTAAAATAACTATAGTGAAGCAATGACATTTTGAAAATCCCGCGAAAATCCCGCGAAGGCATTTTAATTCCTCGTGCAGGATAGCCTGATCCTGCACGACTATTGACCATGCATCACGTCGCGTGCTTCACTGTAGTTACTAGAAATACATGCATGCAGCAACGCCTCGCCTTTCTAAACAGATGAAGTATAGAAATTCCACATGAAGTATTCATGTTTAAAATAATAATAGTCGCTATGGTAACGTGAAAATAATATAAGAAAATAATACGAGATAATTTTTCAACTAAAGAATCGTTGATTTTCACATCTGGAATGTAGTTTTATGTATATATGCATGTGGCTTTCTGGTAAAACGTTTCGAAACTAGTTGCCGTAAAACTGCAGGGGAAACTGAAAAACTTGTTTCGCTGACAGTAATTTGCTCGAAAATACGGTAAAATATATTTGCTTAATTCATGGGAAGAAGCTAGTTTTTGAGTTATATTTTGGTCAAGCCATATTTGCTGTAAGTAAAAGCCATAAAAATACACATAAAAACACGATACGCTGTATTATTAAATTGCCCCAAATAAACAATTTTATTACATTACAATTTCATGTAAATACCAGCTTGCATGCATACAAAAATATAATGTATTTACTGAGTTAAGAATGGCGTAAAAATTTCGCAGATATGAATGAAATCGAAAACACAAAGCAAGTATACGGCACTTACCCAAGTTCCAATTTCCAAACATAGCCACAACGATTAGGCAAAAAAAACCCAACTTGGTTAGCGTCACAGTCACACTCTCACAAATTTTCAGAGGCGGGAGGGCGTTTTTTTTTGTTGTTTTTTAAAATTTTTGCTCGTTTTTTAAATTTTTAAATAGTATTTTTTGGGGGGATGGGGGCGGTTTTTCCACCATATCGGTGATATTTTTTGTACTGATGTTGCGAAGGCCGCCATTTTCATATAAGAACCTTGTACCCAAGCCCACGCGCTCCTATCGATCAGTATATAGCGCGAAGGTCTGAGCATGAGAATAATTTCAAATATTAAACTGTTTTAAGCTGTAAAACGAAAAACTAATACTAATAGTCTCCAACTCAGAACAGGTCAAAAGGTTAGGTTTACGCTCGTGCGAGCTCCGCTTAAATAAAAAAAATGTTCAGTTAATTTCTCAGCTATTATATTAAGCTTAATATTTAATTAAAGCTAAGGATTTTGTGCATTTTCTCATCGTATTTTGAAATTGGATTTGTATCGTGGTGTAAAGTTATTTTGGTTTGTTGGATCGTATTACTATCGTATTATTATAGCGCTATAACTGTGAATTTTGGTTAATGAACAATATCTTTGTTGTCGTTTGTCATTTTTGTCCGAATCTTGCTGTGTGATCTACGAATCGTTTTGTGGTTATATTTTGTATAATTTTAGTGTTATTTAAATGTACTGTAGTGTTCATAAATTATTCAACAATAATTATTTTTGACCCGGTTGGAACTTTTGAAATTTTAAATCCCGTCTGGCGTCGCTCTCCATGGCAACAACTGTCTTATCAATACAATGCTCAATAACGTTTTGGGGTATCTCTTCTTTCTCATTTTAACTTTCTGGCTATCAATAAAAATCATCAGAATTTCAACTGAACGACAGACCATTTCCCCAGAATGTCTGTAGCATACCCCCAGAACTACTGTCATTTAATTACTCTGGATTTGCAGTTTTACCGGAGAGATTCTGTTGGCTTTGGACTGCAACTCACGCCGGGTCAGCTCTTCCCAAAAATCGGCCATCTGATATAAACTTTTTCAATATATTTCGGATGGACATGAAACTTGCTACATCAATATAACTTTCCATTCCGAACAATCGTATGTTTTTTATTTTTGAGATTTAACGGTTTTTGGCGGGAAAATGACGTCACGAAACCTCCAGTTAAAATTTATTTTCAATGTCTTAATAGTTTTTAAGCAGAATGTGGAAGATCATGTCATGAAGAGTTCAAAACTGAAAAGAAATTTTAAATATCTTAATCTAATCACGAGATACAGGGAGTTTAGAATCGAATTTTCCACCATTTTGTTACTATTTTTAGATTTTTCACGGTTTTTATAGTGAAATAACTTTGGATTAGGTTTAGATATTTAAAATCCGTTTTCAGTTTTGAACTGTTCACGACATGTTCTTCCAAATTCTGCGACAAAACTATTAAGATATTAAAAGTAAATTTTAACTGGAGGTTTCGTGACGTCATTTTCCCGCCAAAACCCGTTAAATCTCAAAAATAAAAAACATACGATTGTTCGGAATGGAAAGTTATATTGATGTAGCAAGTTTCATGTCCATCCGAAATATATTGAAAAAGTTTATATCAGATGGCCGATTTTTGGGAAGAGCTGACCCGGCGTGACTCGAGACATAAAACTGAGAAAATTTAACTATCCAATCAACTATCGATATGGACTACATTTTCAGATCTCCCGTAAAACGTCTCATGTTGTTCTTCTCATTCTTTTGGCTGGTGATGTAGCGACAAACCCGGGGCCTTCATCATTCCATCCCCCAACGAAAAATCTTGGACAAGGTTTAAATGCTCTCTATCTCAATTCAAGAAGTTTAAAGGCCTTCGTCCCGTCAGATCAAGATTTGTCCAAAGTACGTAAAATTACTCTACTGCAGCATTTACAGTAGTTTACAGTGCGACGTACGATGTTGTATGCATCTGTGAGATATGGCTGAATGCCTGTTTTAAGCAGTGAACTGTTACCCGGGTACTCCATCTTCCGTCGAGACAGAGTAGGAAAGATTGGTGGTGGTGTGTTGGTTGCCGTGAAACTCAATTTGCATGCTACTCGTCGATAAGATCTTGAAAACGAGAACATCGAACTTGTTGTTATAGAACTTGCTATTGAAAACAGAACATTCCTGATTCCGGCCCTGATGTCTTTCAACACCCGAATTTATCACTTCAAAACACCTCCAAGTCTACCTGCATCGTCCTTATTGGAGACTTTAATCTTCCAGCAACCAATTGGTCTCTTGATCAACCAACTTCCGCAACTAACGGTGGACAGCTCGAAGAGTCATTCTGTGACTTAAGGCCATGTTACACGGTGCAATTTTTCTTGCGACTTGCAATGCAATCTTACTCTTGAGAGATGCAAATTAGTGAAATCAGAAAAGAATTTTCGATATGGTTGAGAAAACATCAGCGGAGTGTAATGAAGACTCGTATTTGGCAATTTTACATCTCTCAAGAGTAGAATTGCATTGCAAGTTGCAAGAAAAATTGCCCCGTGTAACATGGCCTTTAGTTGGTGATAATTTCTTTCAACAGTTCATCAAAGGTACAACCCACACTGGAGGAAACATGCTTGATCTTCTGCTATGTAACTGTCCTGAGATTGTCAAAAATATTTCAACATTCTCACCTGAACAACTAAACTTCACGACGGATCATCACATCATAGAGTTTCAAATTCAGCAAGCGTTCTGTCGCGCCAAACCAGTTTCGCGTAATAGATCTAGAGAGTTTTAGCTTGACGTTTACGGCAAACGTCAAACCGCTAACGAAGTTTATGATTTTACAAGTCTATTATAACAGCTTTTACACCAGTTTTGAATTTGAAATATAAACAATTATTAAACTTGTGCTCTTTAGCAATGATTTAAAAGAAAGCAAATTAACTACTAGTCACGTATTCGCGAAAGCAGTAAATTATGATTTGGCGTTTGAAGTTTACGTTTGGCGTATAAATTTCATGCTTTAACGACTACACAAGCCCTCATAGCAGTTCAAGCATGAAATTTATACGCCAAACGTAAGCTTCAAACGCCAAATCATAATTTACTGCTTTCGCGAATACGTGACTAGTGGTTAATTTGCTTTCTTTTAAATCATTGCCAAAGAGCACAAGTTTAAGAATTGTTTATATTTCAAAACTGGTGTAAAATCTGTTATAATAGACTTGTAAAATCAAAAACTTCGTTAGCGGTTTGACGTTTGCCGTAAACGTCAAGCTAAAACTCTCTAATGTCTTCGCCTTCAACCGTGGGAACTTTGATGATCTTCGTAGTAATTTAATACAGGAACCATTCCAGGCAGTCTTTACTAACAACATTAATGAATGCTGGATACAATGGAAAAATTGGTTTTTCAATGCGGTACATAAATTCATCCCAACAAAAACAGTTAAGGACACGTACTCAGCACATTAGAATGATGGTGAAGTAAGATTATATATTCGAAAGAAGTACGTAGCTCAAAAAACATATGGACAATGTCAAACTGATCATTGAAAACGGAAACTACGCGAACTAAGCCAAACAATAAAATATCTAGTGATTACCTAGATAATATTAAGGACTCGTTTCGCGATAACCCGAAATTTTTTTGGTGTTATCATAAAGCCATATTTTCTCATAAATCGACTCTCAATCCCGTCATCTCCTACAAAGGCAAAGTGGCAAAAACGTCTGCCGAAAAAGCTGAACTCTTTAACTCATATTTCTCTTCTGTTTCCCAATCCTTCACGATCTAACCATCCTAGGAGTCATACCTTCGATTCTTCTCAATTAAAAACTGACTTACAAATTAGAGAAATAACGGTTTACGAGGAAGAAGTCTCTAACCATCTGGCCAATCTAGACGTGACAAAAGCAAGCGGTCCTGACAGTATTCCTGCGCGGCTTCTGAAAGAATGTCATCAACAAATTTCCCCAAGCCTGTGTGTCCTTTTCAACGCCTCTCCCAAATCTGGTTTTATTCCTTCGGAGTGGAATTCGGCAAATCTGACCCCTATACATAAAAATACTCGAAAGAACCAGCAGATAACTATAGGCCAATCTCGTTATTGCCTATCGTTAGCAAGATCCTGGAACGCTGCGTTTACTCAAGATTTTATGATCATGTTGCTCACCTCATCAGTCCATCCCAACACAGCTTTCTCAGAAATAGATCCTGCGTCAGCCAACTCCTGTTTGTCCTTCAGGTCATCGGACAAGATCTAGACAGAAACACTCAGACTGATGTATTGTACCTCGACTTTGCCAAGTCATTCGGCTCTGTAGATCACACGATCCTCCTAGCTAAGCTTCGTTGTTACAGTGTGACTGGCTCAGCTCTTGATTGGTTTGTTAACTACCTTAATTTAATGGTAGGACACAAAGAGTCGTTATGGACGGTGTGACTTCGAAATGGTCCTCCGTCACTTCCGGTGTGCCTCAAGGAAGCATTCTAGGATCCTTGTTGTTTGTAGTATTCATCAACTATCTACCCGACATCGAAGAAGCCCGAACCGGTACAGCTCTGTATGCAGATGACACTGACCAAACTGCACAAAATCGCTACCTGTAATCGTGATTGTGCGTCGTTACAACACTCCCTATCCAGTCTTAATCTCTGTACTATGGAAAACAACCTCCGCTTCAACGTCTCTAAGTTCAAAGTTCTCACCATCACCCAAAAGAAAAATCCTATCATTAATTCATGACTACACTCTTGGGAGCCAAAACCTGACTCGAGTAGATAGCGAAAAAGATCTTGGAATTACCACCACATCAAAACTTCCTTGGGACATTCACGCGAACACCATCGTCGCGAAGGCCAACAAAATATTAGGCGTACTTAGAAGAACTTGTACCAAATTCATGGACATAAAAGCCATTATATTTATCGTTGGTCAAGTCCCAGCTGTGTTATGCTACAGAGGTATGGTTGCCGGTTAAGAACGTCCAGATTTTAAGACGTGTAGAAAAAGTGCAAAGAAGAGCGACTGGGTGGATAACAATGACAAAGCGAGGCGAACTGTCGTACAGAGAACGGTTATAAGCATTAGATCTGCTACCGTTAACCTATGATCGAGAAGTCAGAGACTTGGTATATTTTTTCAAATCATTGTTTAGTTACATTGACGTCAATATCTTAAACGTAGATACTATATATTAATTAGTAATGTTTATGACGTAGACATGGCTTGTACGTGGTCATTAACTCGTGACTGTCCTTGCCATATGACTTAATACCACAATTAACTATATCTAAACTAATTACGGGGAGCACCTCGTATGGGACTTTTAGTGTCTCGTTTGCATGTGCTTTTCCGTTTGAGTGTGTCTACTAATTTGTGATTTGTGACGTGTGTTTTGTCTTTCTTTTGCCAAGTATTTATCTTTGTTCCTGATATAGTACGTATATAGATTGATCAATAAATTCATTAAATAAATAAATGGATTTACATTAATAAAAAAAAATTCAGAGCGGCAGAAATCGAGAGGCGGGCGGTTGACGCTAACCAAGTTTTTTTTTATTTTGGTCTTATTAAAATTTGTTAAAAACGTCTGGTTCGTCTTCTTCAAAATTCGTGTTTATGCCTTTCACACTTTGTTTCACGGTTCACAACCACTAATTCATGAAGCTGCAAACTTTTTTCCAGTTAAAAGCGAAATATATCGCAAAATACATCTTTGCAAAATGATAAACAATTTTTTTAGCGCGAGCTTGTACTCGCGCATGTGCATAACGTCGAAGACCGTCCATCACATAATGGAGGACAACTTTGCACTTCGCTATGTTCCCAAAGTCACATAAGTAGATGACGCCAGGTTATTACACTAGAGTCGGGGAAGGGGCTTCCAAATTTTATGTTCTTGTTTTGCCTGTTTGAGGCAATCTCGCACCCAGAGTATGCCCGTTCGCAGGTTAGGTGCTGGGCATGCTCAGAACTCTGGGTACGAGATTGGTATTCCGTATCTTCAGAGTCATGCCCAGCACCTAACCTGCGAACGGGCATACTCTGGGTACGAGATTATGTTGGAGGGGGCTTTGGAAATTATACTTTTCTTAAGAAGGGGGAGGGACAACGAAAAATAGTATAACTGTAGAGTTTCTCATCAGTCCTCCTGTACAATAAATAATGAACCGTCCCTTAATGCTCTGAAAGAAAGACTCGGTACCCTTTGTTAAATCCCTACGGCTAACGATTGAAAGAAAACCGCCAGCTACGCAGACTAGCAAAACTGGCGCTCTGGAAAAACTGGCTATCTGAAAAAACTGGGGCTCTGCCAAAACTGGTGCTCTGCCAAAACTGGCGCTCTGGCACTAACTGGCGAAACTGGTGCTCTGCAAAATTAGCAAACTGGTGCTTTGCTGATGAAAACTGGCAAACTGCGCTCCGGCAAATGAATAAAATAACAAAAACGTAGATCTTTTTGGCGTATGGTATTCAGAGTTGTTAGATGACGTAAGATATGTATAAGTTTGTACAATTACCACATATTAACCATATATTAGTTTACAACCAGCATATAACTACTTGCCCCCGAGCCAACGGCGCGTGAAGCGCCGTTCCGGGCGTAAGCCCGGGGCGAGGGTAACATCTACCTACTATACGAAGGGACTCAAGTTCACCTAAGAAGTTAATATCTACAACGAATGATCTTGATTCGCTAGCTAGATGAATGAGATAAGAACCGACAGATAAGTAATTAGTAGTACGTATTAAACAAGACTATATGTCTTTAATAATGGCTTCTA